ATCGAGCGATCGGCTGCCAACCAGGAGCCCAGCCCCGCCACAGAGAGCCCGGTGAGTGGCCCCGCCTGCGCGCAGGGATGCGGTCCGGCGTCCCAGGCGCGCCAGGAACAGCCCAGGATCTCCTGCCTGGTGGCTGTGCCTGGCCTTTCCCCTGCTATTTTCCCCAGCAATAAGGGGCAAGGGGTGACTTGGCGAAAAACTGGGAGTCCCGGACTCTTAAGTGTGGAAAACCAAGACAGATATTAAGTGAAAAACTCGCTGTCACCTAAGCCTTTCTGTTCAAGGTCTTCCCCACCGAGAAGAAATTAGGGGGTGGGGGCAAAACAAGCGAAATGAAACAAGAACTACGCCGTTTCCCAGAAGCAGTTGATGGTAGCTAACTGGGGTATTCTGACTTCCTGGGAAGTGTGTTTAAACTTCAAAAGGAGCCAGGTAGTGGCGTACATCTGTAATCACAGCCCTCAGGAGGCTGAGGCAGGAGGATTGCCCCATGAGTTTAAGAGTGGCCTGGGGTACATAGTGAGACTCTGACTCAAAAAAATAAAAATTTTTAAAAATTAGAAGGGCACATGAATGGGTTATTATTGTTGTTGTTTTGTTGTTTGAGACAGGGTCTTGCTATGTAGTTGAGGCTGGCCTTAACCTTGCATTTATCCTCCTGCCTCAGCCTCTCCAGTGCTGGGATTACAGCTGGAGACCACCATGCCTGGTATGAATGGCTTATTAACTCCAACAGGTGTTTAGCAAACCACTATGAAACCTTTGTTCTGAGTTGGAGCTTTGAAGATCAAGCACCCTGATTTGTGTCCTGATTCCTCCTGTAGCTCCCCCCAGGAATGGGCCTGTGGTTGCCTCCTGGAACAGATTATTCTATGTCCCTGTGTGGCAGGTCCTCACCCAGCATGTTAGGCCTAAGTTGTGAATTCTTCATAGACACAGAGGAGCCCCTTCGAGTCCGCTTCCCCTTGGTTCTCCTGGGCACTACCTGTGAACCAGGGACAGTGCCAGCCGCTGAACAGCCATTGTCCAAGCTCCATGTCTTGCCAGGAAATGGAAGACAGGACGTGGGTTATGAGCAGAGACACTTGCAGTGGCGGTCGAGACGTTTGAGCTGAGCGCTGGAGCGGCAAACATGTAGAGTTTAGGACAGAAAAGAAGCCCGGTACGGTGGTGCACACCTGCGATCCCACGGCTCTTGAAACCTGAGGCTGGAGTTTCTGTAGTTCAACCCCAGCCTGAACAATTTAGCAACTTAGTGAGACCTGCTCTTAAAAAGAAAAAGGAAAAGGCTGTAGCTCAGTGGTAGAGCACTTGCTTAGCATGCAAGAGGCTCTGGGTTCTATCCCTAGCACCACTAAATAAATAAATATGCAGAAGGCCATGTGCAGGTGGTATGCGAAGACCATGTCCTTTAATAAGGGGCTCTGCATGGTACAGTGAACTAACTCATCAGTGATGCCAGGGCAGGACTGTAGTGCCTGCCATACAGACAGGAAGCTTGAGGCCCAGGTGAAGGCAGGAAGCCAAGGTTCTTGGTCTTGTCCCTTGCCGTCACCCGTAGAACAGCAGTGCCTGACCTGTGGTAGGGCTCTGTCATTGTTAAGAATGAATGAGTGGTTGAGTGAGTAAATGAATGAATGTGTGTTTCCCAACAAAGCACCTCCAGGCCTACTTCTTTGGGTGGTGTTGGGTTAAGTGTATACTGAAGAGATTTTTTTTTTTTTTTTTTGAGACAGGGTCTTACCGTGCAGCCCACTCACAGGGATCCTCCTGCCTCAGCCTCCTGAGTGCTGAGATTACAGCTCTTGCCCACACGATTTTCTTTTCATTTGCACTGCAGACCTGAGCAGAGTTGAACACCATGGCTGGAGGGTCAGGGCCTTGCCTGAGATTGCACAGTGGACAGGGTTGGAACCTGGGTCCCCTGGCCCCTGGAGCCCCTGTCCTGAGAAGCAGGCCTCCTGCTTGTGCACAGGGAACCTGGGTCCCCCAGCTGCCACTTTAGAGCAGCACCACGGTCCTGCTGTGGGAAGGACCTGGAGGAGGAGGGGGGCAGGGCTGCTATGTGTCTTTGTCACCTAGGACACCGGCCTGTACTACCACCGGTACCTCCAGGAGGTCATCAATGTGCTGGAGACAGACGGGCACTTCCGGGAGAAGCTGCAGGCCGCCAATGCCGAGGACATCAAGGTACAGTGGGCCTGGAGCAAGGGCGCTCGCAGGGCAGAGTCGGGGCCTGGGGTGGCATCAGACTGGGGACCGTGTGTGCAGAGGGAGGCTTCAGTTGCCGTGTGCCGTGTGCCTTGTGCTGTGTGCTGTGTGCTGGTAGCTCCTCTTTCTTTTCAGAAAGCAGCTTGCTATGTCGTCTGGGCTGGCCTTGAACTCATGGTGGTCCTCCTGCCTCAGCCTCCTGAGTGCTAGGATTATGGGCTGATTTGAGTTCTGAGGGGTAGTGAGGATCTGGTTAGATTTAGAAAGGGGGCAAGAGATCCCCGACAGGAGAATCCAAAGCTGCCCGGGCCCTGGGGTGGGGAACGGGCTCTGGGCCTGGGAAGCTGTGAGCAGGGTCGGGGTACAAGGGGCCGACAAGCCTTCCCTGTCCCAGCAGAGCGGGAAGCTGAGTCGAGAGCTGGACTTTGTCAGCCACCATGTCCGCACCAAGCTGGATGAGCTGAAGCGGCAGGAGGTGTCACGGCTGCGGATGCTGCTCAAGGCCAAGATGGACGCCAAACAGGAGCCCAGTGAGCTCGGGCAGGGGTGGGAGGTTGGTGGGAGTCTCCTTCCTGGCGCGCTCTCTGTACTCCAGTTGCTTCCCATTTCCATATTTTTCTTTTCACATTTAAGTGTTGCAGTTTAGCCAGGCGTGTTGGCGCACCATGTCATTCCAGCACTCTGGGAGGCTGAGGCAGGAGGATCCCTAATTCAGTTCAGGCTGGGTAACATAGCGATTTAGTGGGAGTCTGTCTCAAAATAAAAAATAAAAAAGGCTGGGGGTGTAGCTCAGTGGAAAGGCCCTGGGTTCAATCCCCAATACCAGAAAAAAAAAATCATGGTCATTTAAATTTATATTAATGGTGCTAAGGATAGATCCCCAATCCCCGCTGTGCCCACCCCACATGCCAGGCAGGCACCCTGCAGCAGGACCTCATCGCAGCCGCTGGACTTGTGTTACTTCCATGCCCTTCTCCTGAGCATGATTCCAATTTCTTTGTATTTATATCAAAGACCACACACACATATCTGTACATGGTATAAGTGCACACACGTTTCTCCAGTTTGTTTTTCAGTACCTACAGCCTCGTGCATGCTAGGCAAGTGCTCTACCATTGACGTATACCCACAGCCCTTTTCTATTTTGAGACAGGGTCTTACTAAGTTGCCCAGGCTGGACTGGCACTTGGAATCCTCCTGCCTCAGCCTCCTGGGTGGCTTGTGCCACCACACCCAGCTGCTAATCTTGTTTTAAGCATCAGTTCAGAGACAGGATCCCTGCCTCAACCAGCATGGGTGAACCTGAGACCTGAGTGGGAGTGGCGGAAGATAAGGAAAAGACACACAAAGAAAAAGCTGGGGCCAGGTCGGCTGCAGTCGGCTGCAGCCCTCTAATGGAGAAGCTTCGACCTGGTGCCTGGTGCCTGGACAGTGTTTATTTTATACAGTTTCAAGAGGGAGTGTTCGGGGTGGTTTCAGGAAGAATATGCTTTTATTATAGTGAGAGCATAGAAAGTAGTACATTCTTAGCTGGGCCTGGTGGCACACGCCCAGCACTCGGGAGGCTGAGGCAGGAGGATCACTGGGAGTTCGAGACCAGCCTGGGCTACATAGTGAGTTCCAGGTCATTCTCAACTACATAGTGAGACCGTGTCTAAAGAAACAAACAAAAAACGAACTTCATATTTAAAATACACAGGCACTCCTTTAAAATAACTTTTTAAAACCATAAGTGGGGCCTGTTTTAAAAAAAACAAAAAAAAAAAAAAAAAGGAAAAAAAGAAAAGAAAGTAGCACATTCTCAAGGCCAGTAGCGATGCTGCAGTCAGTTATCTGGAACACTGAGCTCGCTGTGCTGCTTGCTCCTTATTGCCTGAGTTACTGGAGGTCAGGAGCTGAATACAAGAAGTCTCTGAGGGCCCTCAGCTCCCTACAGACCCCTCCTCTCCGACACCCTCTCTGATTGCCCCGGCCTGCTCCTCCCCCTTGGGGCCTCCTGCTGCCCCTGACCACCCTTGGAGCCGGCCCGGCCTGAATGGTGCCCCTTTATACCCTCCTCACCTAGCTGTGCAGATGGATCACCTGAATCTCCTGAAGCAGTTTGAACACCTGGACCCTCAGAACCAGCACACGTTCGAGGCCCGGGACCTGGAGCTGCTGATCCAGACAGTAAGTGGGTGGGGGAGCGGCAGGGAGAGCCAGGCAGAGGGGGCAGAGGGGATGGGGGGACACGAGCTGCTCTCGGGCCAGGCAGAGGCTGGCAGCGGTGGCTCATTTCTAAACAACTTCTGCTGCTTCCTCTTCCTCCTCTTCCCCTTCTGCCAGTTTCCCTCTCTTTCTCTTCTTCTTTTTTTGCAAAGTAAGCGCTTTATCTTTGAGCTGCATCCCAGCTTTAAAACCATCCCTAGCACTATGGTCTGGGATGAAAAAAACAAAAACCTGCCGTAAAGCCGGGCGTAGAGGTGTCCGTCTGTAATCTCAGTACTTAAGGCGATGAGGCAGGAGGATTTGCCTGAGTCTGAGGCCAGCCTGGGCAGCAAAGTGAGACCCTGCCCCTTCCCCACCCCAAAAAACCCACCCCGTCTTCCACAGGAGAGCAGCCTGTGGGTCCCTCCAGTCTGGCTCTGCTCCAGGCCAGTCCATAGGCACTGGGATGGGGACTCTCGCCTCTGTCCTTGCCGTGGGCTGAACGATGCCCTCCCTTCTTCAGAATCTGTGATTGCTCGTGCTAAGGAGACTGGCAGGTGGGATTCATCTCAGCCCTCTGGGAGACTGAGGCAGCAGGGCCACCTGTTCAAGTTTATCCTCAGAAGCTTAGCGATGTAGAGAATCTGGCAGGCTGCCATGGCGCTGATCCTATCCCTTGGCCTGGTGCCCCTGCCCGGCCCAAGCTCTGCTTTTCTTTTTCCTTTTTGGGGTGGGAGGGCTGAGACAGGGTCTCATATGTAAGTTAAGACTGACCTGGAGCTCACTATGTAGCCCAGGCTGGTCTCGAACTCACAGTGATCCTCCTGTCTCAGCCTCCTGGGTGCTGGGATTACAGGTTGTGCCATCACGCCCGGCCTTTTTTTTTTGTCTTTTGAGACAAGATCTCAGTACATGGTTCAGGTTGGCCTTGAGTTCACTATGTAGCCCAGGCTAGGCTGGAACTCTGAGCAATCCTCCTGCCTCAGCCTCCCAAGTGCTGGGATTACCGGTGTGCACCATGGTCCCAAGCCTCCAAGATCTTGAGACTGCGGGACTTGAAAGGTGGTCATAGTTATTTTGCAGTTGTCATAATCGCTTTTGAGGAGAGAGAAGGGTGTGTTATGGGTCAGGAGCGGCCATGGAGAACACGAAAGGAGACCAGGCCCCTGGGTGCGGTGCAGAGCAGCTCTGCCTGCCCCGGCCAGCTGCCCTGCCAAGGGTCCCCGTTTTTAGGGCTGGAATTCAATGAGGAGAGTGATCTTCGTCCTCCACAGGCCACCCGAGACCTTGCGCAGTACGATGCAGCCCATCATGAAGAGTTCAAACGCTATGAGATGCTCAAGGAACACGAGAGACGCCAGTACCTGGAGTCCCTGGGAGAGGAGCAGCGGAAAGAGGCAGAACGGAAGCTGGAAGAGCAACAGCGCCGGCACCGGGAACACCCCAAAGTCAATGTGCCAGTAAGGACCCCGTGTGCGCCCACCCTGGGAGCCGCAAGTCCAAAGCAGTGAAAGAACTGCAACTCCCAGGAGCCCCCGGGACAGTCTCTGGTACTGTGCCGACTGCCCCAGGGGTGCTGAGAGCTGTAGTGTTCGTAATTGAGAGGCATGACCTTGCTGGATAAAGGTAAGGGTTTTTCTGGCTCCAACCCATGGCACCCAGGCTCCTTGCTCATAAGCCCCTGGCTCTTCCCTCCACAGGGCAGCCAAGCGCAGTTGAAGGAGGTATGGGAGGAACTGGACGGATTGGACCCCAACAGGTTTAACCCCAAGACCTTCTTCATCTTGCATGGTAAGGTGTGGAGGTGCAGGTGTCACAGGCCCGCGCCAAACCTGGAAGCTCTGACCTTTCTGGGGCCCAGATGTTAAGGAAGTGGGCGATCTCTACGAGGCCTAGGCCCATCTCCCCAGCCCACTCCAAGGCCCTGCTCCTCACAGTTGCTGGATCTTCCATGGCACCCCAGGCCTCTTCTGGGATATGTCAGTCCCTTGGGCTCTAAGTGTTGGACCGCTGAGTGGCCCTGTCACCCAGGCTGGGCTGTACCCTGTAACCAGGGCTCCACGGTTCTGGAGAGCCACGTCTCGGTGGTGGACCTGAGGCATCTTCCCCTCCACTCAGTCCCTTGGTGCCTGAGAGCAGGGCCTGGGGTGGCCCAAGACCCGGATCCAGAAGCTGCAGGCCTTCAGCAGAGCTCATCGGGGCCTGAACCTTGTCCGTATTTACTAAGCACCACTGAGGACTGGGCTTTGTAGGCCTGGGGACAAAACTAAGCCAGTCAGAGTTCCTCCCCTACAGTTCGACAGATTGGACCGTATTGTAGGCTGTATGAGGCTGGAGTGAAACATCCTAGTATTTTGCAATAGCCAGTTCAAATGGTAACATGCATCCCAATTTTAGGCTTGGTAAAATGCAGAGATGGAAAAAAGACAGCCGAGAATTACAGAAATATGTCCTCTAATAGTCTCAGGAGGTAGAAAGAAGACGACCAGGCTAGGCCTGTAATCCCAGCACTCTGGGAGGCTGAGGCAGGAGGACTGCAGTTTCAAGTCCTCCCTGGGCAGTTTAGTGAGGCCCTCTCTCAATAAGAAAGAGCTGAAATGTAACCCAGTGTTAGAGCGCCCCTGGGTTGCAATCTCCAGTACTGTAAGAAAGAACAGAAGGACCCTGGGATTAAGGGGTAGGAGTAGCTATTGTAGGTAGCGTGATCCAGCTGGGTTTTTAAACCAGTGCTGTCCAAATGGAATCTTGCCTGGCAGGCACCAGCCCTGAATGGCTACTGATCAGTTGAAATGTGGTTTGTGTGACAGGGACTGAATTTTTTTTTTTCCACTTTTTGTTTTGATAAATGAAACCTATTTCTTTCTTTTTCTTTTTTCATTTTGGTATCGGGTAGAACTCAGGACCTTGCACTTGGGAGGCAGGCGCAGTACCACTGAGTTACATCCCTGGCCCTATTTATTTATTTATTTATTTAGGGTTGGTTTTGCTCATTAGCCCAGGAGTACTGGGATTACAAGGATGCTCTGTGACACCTGTCAGATAAAACCTTTTCTTAATCTAAAAAAAAATGTGGTTTTTTTTTTTTGGTGGGGGGAAAGTACTGGAGATCGAATTCAGGTCCTTGTACTTGCAAGGCAGGCGGCAGAACCACTGAGCTAAATCCCCACTTAAAAAAAAAATTTAATACCTGTAATCCCAGTACTGGGGAGGCTGAGGCAGGAGGATCGCCATGACTTTTGAGGCCAGCCTGAACTCCTTAGTAAGACCCTGGCTAAAACAAAACAAAACAAAACAGGGCCTGGGATTTAGCTCAGTGGTTTTGCCACCTGCCTTGCAAGCGCAAGGACCCGAGTTTGATCCCCAGTACCAAAAATAAATAAAATAAAACAAGCAACAAACAAAAAAGAGTTCAGTTCAGAACAATTAAGTGTATCTATGTTACCAGAAATGTTTTCATCTTGCCAAACTAAAGCTACAGACCCTTCCAACAACTCTTGTTTCTCCCTCTTCCCAGCCCCTGGCATCTGATATTTCACCTGTTTCTTCAATTTTGTTGTTAATGTTGGGAACTGAAAACAGGGCCTTTGCCCTGAGCTGCATTCCCAGTGCACTTTTACTTTGTATTTTGAGACAGGGTCTCAGTAAGTTGCCCAGGCTGTGATCAAATGTACAGTCCTCCTGCCTCAGCTTCCCAGAGGCAGACAAGGTCAGCGTCTGGAGTCAGCTTGAAGGTCAAGCGAGTCGGACATGCAGGTGGCGAGGCAAAGCTTGTGAGAGGAACTCCAGGGTGTTTGGCCCCAGTAGCAGGGGAGCCAGGCCTGTTGTGCAGTTAGAGGTCTGCACTGGCTGTGGTGGTGCACCTAGGAGTACCAGCCCTCAGGGATTCAGATTCCAGCCCCACCTGGGCAGCTCAGCACCTTAGCAAGACCCTATCTCAAAGTAAAAGAGATCCAGGGGCTGGGGATTTAGCTCAGTGGTTCCAGTGCCTGCCTCTTGAGTGCAAGGTTCCGAGTTGGATCCCTGGTGCCAAAAATACATAAAGAGGCCCGGGGATGTAGCTCAGTGTCGAGGCGCTGAGTTCAGTCCCCAGTACCACCGAATGAATGAATGAATGAATGAGTTAAAAACTAGATAGCAGCCGCTGTTGCACACCCTCGTGGAGGAGGGTGGACAGCATGCAGGGGTGGAGGTGGCTTCTGATGGCATGGGTTTCCACCAGCCACCTACAGCTGTTGCGTATGTTACTGCGTAACAAATAGGAGGAATAAACTGAACGTTTAAGTCCTATTTTTTCCTCCATGCTGGGAATCAAAACCACAGCCTTGCTCAAGCTCTGCCAGTGAGCCACATCCCAGCCCTAAATCGTATTGAATCTTAACGTCTGTCGTCTGTGGCCGTGATGGGAGGGCTGGCCAGAGAGCAACAGGACCTGCTGGCAGCCGGGGCAGAACATAAATAAAACACAGGCTGAAAGTTAACCATTGCATTTGCAAGACCAGGCTTCCCCGGCCGCCCCAGCAGGAGGAGGGTCAGTGCCCTGTGTGGGCAGAGGGGAGTGTGGCTGTTGCAGGCCCGGAGCCCTGCAGCTGGGAGCTGCCTGGCAGCCAGAGTCAGCAGTGGCCTGGTTCTCTGGGCGGATACCAGACGCCAGGCACCAGAGGTAGACAGTGAGCCCCACCTCGTCTGCTTCGTTCTCGGGGCCTTGGTTGTGAGGGAGTCGGCTGTCCTAGCACAGACCTAGTGGGGAGGCTGTCATAGGGGACCCACTGCCAGAGGCTGGTCCTCACTTGTCCTCCGGTAAGGGACCCCAAGCAGCCCAGCAGCCCTTCACCGCTTGTCCCCCGGGGATCAGGTCCACCCTGTGCTCAGTCCCCTGATCAGCACTGTCCTCTCTCAGATATCAACAGCGATGGGGTCCTGGATGAGCAGGAGCTGGAGGCCCTCTTCACCAAGGAGGTAAAGGGCACGGGTGATGTGGAGGACTTGGCCGAGGAGTGAGTGGTTAAACTGCAGGGCCAAAGCATGCAGGCTCTGTGAAGAGTGAGTGTTAAACACGAAGCTCAGATTAGTGAGGCCTGTTGTGTCTAGCCTTGAGACATTTGTAAAACCTGAGAGTGCTTGGCTTTGACTCTTCTTGGAGTCACTGTAGCCCTGTGCCCTTCATTAAGATTGACCCTCTTGGGCCAGGGACTTAGCTCAGTGGTTCAGTGGCCTCCCTTGCAAGCGCAAGGACCCGAGTTCAATCCCCGGTACCAAAAAAA